ATACATAGAATGAATCCAATCCTTCAGGTAGATTGAATACAAAAGATTCTTATTAATATACATAAATGAATATTTAAGTACGATTGATTTAACATTTAAAGATATAATTCAACACATTCATTAATTATAAATTGTATAACTACATTTTAACAAATTATTCGTAATTTATCATTGTCACGTTTTTTGACTGATTGATTTTTGAATGTAGGGTTGTGTCGCAAACGAGAAGCCATAATCAATACATGAAATATAAATGAAAAATCGTCAATGATAAAACATATGATTACATTTTACCGTTTTATTGTTATTATGTTGTAATCTCATAGATTTAGATATTTCTATAAATTGCAACGCTGTTGAAACATTATTGAAAATGTCTATCATAGATTTATACAACAGCATAGTGGCATAGTTAAAACATGATAATTAATGTGTACTTGCATAAAAATATTCTCTAGAATAAATCGAAAATGGCATTATATGAATGAGCTGGTTTTCAAATACTACTGAAACATTTTCAGATGGATAATGTGGCAGTCATTTTAATGCTGAAAAAAAATACTTGAAAGAAATATTAATGATAATTTGTTGAAAAAATATTGTTTTTTGGATTCACAATGTATATGTTATTTTGTTATAATTCTGAGCCAAGAGATTATTATAATTTCTTACATTAGTAGACTTTTGAAAATCTTAATATTTCTACTAATTTATAAAAATTGGATGCATTCAAAACTAAATTGAATATAAATGATTGCAATAATTAATTGCATTTGTGAATGAGAAGAGAAAATGAATTGTTGTAATTGTGGTTTTGAGAAGCGCAGCATTAATTATACGTTTCGGGGTAGAGAATAATATTAAAAGGGTCGTTCAAATTTAAGTGCATTGTTTGTACTGGATGAGATTAAAGTCGCATTATTCGCGTTGCCGCTTACATTTGTATAATATTATAAAGGCGTTAAAATGCAAAATAATTATGTTTACTTTATACGCGTGTCTACGGGCTAAATCTTCTGGCCCGTAATTACATTGAAAATTCAATTAATGTCCAATCTCGTAGATTGCGTGAAAATGATGTGCCTTATGCGAGGTGATAGACAAGTACCGTGTACAGAACACACTCAAAGGGATCCGTTAACAAAGGGCGCGAATTCTGACTAACCCCCTTCACTAACTCTGATTGAGTATTCGCATACGATAATTTCCAAGCATCTACTTAAACGCACAAGTAGCAAATTTCAATTCTATTTACCAAATCGATACATGCGGATTTTATCCTAACACGAATTTTATGTAGAGCACTAAATATAGGTGAGGGCGTCTATAAATAATCACATTCTCCCTCTACAGAAGCGAATTTATATTCCACCCAGCCTCCCATATTTATCCAACTGGGATGTTGCTCATTTTTTTTATTTTTCATTCTTCCTCGTACGTCTGATATAATAAATCTCTACGCCTTTTTTTTGCGTCTGCTTTTTTTCTACTTGCAGAAATGAGGGGACAAAGAGGACGAAACGTCTGTGGACGAATGCAGTGCACAAGCTACAAACGGAGAGGAGCAAGCGGCACAAATTCGCTAACATAGCAATAGCCGTTCTTGAGATGAAACGGCAAGAGATGCTGGACGAATCGCAGAGTCCGGTCGAGCAAAAAGTAAACGATAAAGTCAATCACTTCTCGAAGTTAATTCCTTCATATTTTCTAGCAAAGCGAACCGCAAGAACAGCCGAAGCAGAATGGGAATGATGCACCATCCCCTGATGACTCGAACGATGTTTATCCGAGCTTGAATTTTCAAAAGCACCATCCATCCATTTTTCCTACAGACGAAGATAGCTTTTCGGAAATTAAAGGTACACTCACGTATATTGAATATTTCTCAGTCATAAAAGAAAACGTATACATTTCGAGATGCCGGAGGATCTTTCTGGATTCGAACAAATTGAATGGCTTTTGTAAAAGTTCGAAACTAACGTTTCGGAGTAAAGAGAAAGAAAATGCGAGCGATCTCCTCATATACATATATATTCGAATTCCTTTAATACCAATAACATATGTGAATTCAATCTCGGAGAAATACTTTTACATGGAAAACAATTGATTATGTAAATTCCGTTATTTTTCAGCCGACTTAGCTACAGTTTTCAAGAAGGGGCTAATGTACAAGGGGATCTATTGGCCGAGTTTAACGAACAGCTTTCATTCCAAACATTTAGAATTAGCTTACCTACGATATTCTCATAGACAACGACAAAAGTCTCTCATTATTGTCAACATTGTTGATCTGTTTCTTAAGGTAAGTTCTCAATTTGTTCCTGTTTAATTATCAAAATAATTACAAAAAAAAATATTCAGATCCGATTTCTAAATTTCTATTAATTTTTATTTATTTATATATGACTGTTATTATAAATATTAAATAACAATATTTCTTGAAACACTCGTACAGAAAGAAATTAAATAAAAAACGTATTTATGTAATCATAATTAAAGAAAATGAATTAACCGTAAAGTATTAATTGTTAATAATTTCAACATTTATTGTCACAACTATTAAATCAAATTATGTATGAAATAAAATGAACGAATTATTTACACCTATTCTGTGAATATTTTAAATTTTTACGAAATACATGTATGCAACCAAAATTGATTTTAATAACCCGTTACTTAGGCAACGAAACATATATAATTAAGCGGATTTCATGCAACTAGGCACACACACAATTTGTGAGTTTAATGCTTGTTCTGTATTTAAACTAAACTATTTACATTTTTATTTAATAATGTTATGATACAAATATAATTTTAGCAACATTTAAAATGTTGCAAACTGTCTCAGAATCTTTTCGAATATTTCAATTTTGAGATCTGTTTAATAATAATAATTTGTTATAGTAATATCGTTTTGAAAAAATAAGAACTAATTATATATAAGTTATTTTATATATAATTTGTATCTTGTACAAAACTTTTGAAATAAATCTTGTTTCATTTTTATTATTATTTCAACAATTTTACAATATTCGTACATATTTATTGGGGCTTTCGAGCTTTGTAATTATTAATTATTTTTTCATTTGATCACGTTTCAAAAGATTTATGGATAACGTCATGTAATATTCATACATATCATTTTGTAAATTTATTATTAGTTATTAAAGTCATGTATATTAAAATTGAAAAATTGTACATCATTAGTTATAAATGATAAATGATCACCGTACTAAATTGTTTCCAATAAATATAAATCAGATAATGAATTGTATGTTCTGCTTAGGTAGCATTGATCTCTGTTTGGGCATCTCAGGATGTACTGAAAACCAATTACACGCAGTCAATAATTTGGTCGGTGTGCTGTATGTCTGCGAATATAGCAGTCTGCATATTGGGATGGTGGCGATGTTTCGCAAACAATTATTTACACTGGGCAGCAATTTGCACGTGGCTCCTGCTGAACACACAAGGTAAATTGGGTTGTTTTCGCCGTGGACACAAACGATCTGAACAAATTTGCATTCAACAGGATTTATCGGAAACGGTCTCGGCTTCTCCAACAAAGAGGAATTGGTGTGGTACATACTGTTCACAGTGTTCGTTCCGTACGCAATGCTTCCGTTACCACTTCGATGGTGCATGATCTCCGGTTGCGTCTCATCGATCAGCCACATCACGATCACGGTCATCAAATTAATCAAGGGCAGCAGCAACGTAAGTGAACGCATTTCAGGCGATACGATTTCCTTTTCGATGTAATATGTACAAGTTTCGCTGAGTTATTTTAGTGCGGTTTTCAATCATTTAGGTCGATTACGTGAGCGAATGCTGCATAAGGAGGATAATAGCGAATTCCTTGCTGTTCACGGCTGTGAACTTCGCCGGGATGTATACCAAATACCTTACAGATCGTAGTCAAAGGAAAGCCTTCTTGGAGACGCACCGCTCGATGGAGACGCGATATCGTACCCAAAACGAGAACGATAAACAGGAAAAGTTGCTTCTGTCAGGTATAAGAGGCAGCATTAGCTTATCAAATTACATTCTTTATTTTATTCTTCAAATGTTATATATATACATCAGTGCTTCCGGATTTCGTTGCCAAAGAGATGATCAAAGATATCGCTCGAGAAGAAGAACGCGTCGGAACCTTTCAACCTAATCAATTTCACAAAATTTACATTCATCGATATGAGAACGTCAGTATCCTCTTTGCCGACATCAAAGGATTTACAGGTATTTCTAATTAAATGAATATCCCAATGAATCTAACAAAAAATTCTTAATAAATATAATATAATTGTGATTTTTCGGTAGAAGTTTATAAAATCATTTCTAAGTGTTTTACAAGTTACATATATTAATTAAGTGATTAGTATCAATTGAAATTAAATATAATTTAAAGTGGATAATGCTTTGCATTCATTTTGATGTGACTTTTCATTAATGTTTGGATTGCGAAGAAGCTTTAACGCTTCAGTTGAATTATCGACATACGTGATTTTATGAAATTTCAGCAGCTTTGCACTATGTATAATATCGTGTAATATCCACAAAAGCGTATTAACTGACGACAGTGCAATTACACTAATCTATCATTAATCAACAATTTTCAAGTTCCAATATCATTTTAAAACAATTAATTTACGTGTTTTATTTTATTACTTTAATTACAAATGCTACCAAATACAATTTATTTCGTTAATAATGTGAAATTCTTAAAAAAAATCGTTATTTCAAATGGCTAATTATATAATTAGTGATATTGGTATTATATAATGCTCTGCAAAGATAGTTATGTTTCATTCATTTCAGCTTTGGCGAGTCAATGTAGCGCTCAGGAACTTGTGCGAATTCTGAACGATCTGTTTGCCCGATTCGACAAGCTTGCAGCAGTAAGTTCAAAGGGTTGCACCCGTTATACCTTCGATTTAATTGAAACTGTATGTGTGTGTGTTCGTAGGAAAATAATTGCCAGAGGATAAAGTTGCTCGGAGATTGCTACTACTGCGTTTCCGGTTTGCCAGAGCGCCGTTCCGACCATGCCCATTGTTGCGTAGAAATGGGTCTACACATGATCAAAGCCATCCGGGATACGCGCACAAAAACCAAGGTACGTGATAACTGCATTTGTGCAATAATAAATACAAACAGTTCGTCAGAAGTTGTTTGTCTGCGTTTGGGAAATCAAATCCACCGCAAATAAGATTTCCAAAAAATAAACGCTTCTTCATCCATTTACATAACGTCGCTTATAATCTCGGTATTTACATTTATTTATAAAACGCGACGTTTAGCTACTTATTTTGGAATAACACGGAGCATTTTTACGCGTGCCGCATTTTAATTACTTGAAATTGGGACTGATTTATGTTCTATTGTGTGGAATAATTTTCTATGTACGCAAACATTAATAAACAAACAATTGAGATTTATTAGACCTCTCTAGTGTATATAATCATGCTTTGCAAAAATTTGCGCGTAGTGTATTAACAATGGCTTCGTGTTTAAGCAGTGAAGATTGCAATGTGCTATTGAACAGCTTCAACAATTATCGATTGGATAATTTCTCGTTGCAACCATTTAATGAAGAGCTGAGAGGTTATTTGGGAGAGCATCTGTTGTTAAAATTGAATGCGAAGAACGGAGGTGAAGATAAAAGGTTGACCTTCTTCGTTAAGAATTCCCGATGCGAGGGTCTATGCGACGTGTTCAAAGATACTAAGTTCTTCGATAAAGAACACTTCGTGTACAGATTCTTCAAAGCTGCAAAATCGAAAATACCCGAAGTCAATGTAGAATGTATTCCAAAACTGTTCTACACCGTCGACGAAGTCATCGTTTTAGAAAATCTTGCAGAAAGAAAATATTTCGGGAATAAGTCGCATAAATTCGATAGAAATCATGTATTGAAAGCACTAGAATCTACAGCCAAATTCCATTCCGTTAGTATAGCTTTTGAAGAGAGAAGGAGCAAAGAATTGGGAAGAAAATATACGCTGGACGAAGATTACCAAAAATACTTTGATCCTTTTTACAATTTGAATACGGAAAGTTCCGGCCACAACTTCATACAATCAGTTTTCTATGGAGCTTTAACACTGATTGATGTCCTTTACAAGGATAAGAAACTCGCTGAGGATTTCAAAGAGCGTTTACGGAACTTTGTCAAGGATTATTTTGATATTTTGAATAAAAAGAACAATTTTAGAAAGGTCGTTGCTCACGGCGATCTTTGGGGCAACAATATTTTATTTAAATATGAAAACGGAGTTCCTGTCAAGACGAAATTGATCGATTTCCAACTATTCCGATATGCACCACCAGCCCATGATGTAACTATGCTAATATACATGACTGGGACAAGAGAGACTATTCGGAAACACTGCGATGAGTATTACAGTTATTATTATGATTGCCTTAAAACGGAATTAAATCAATTAAATTTAGATGTAAATTTAATTTTACCTATAAGTGAGTATGAGGAAACTTGCAAAATGTATATGAGAGTTGCCAAATTAACTTGGCTTGCATATCGAGAGACTTCAGAGTCAAAGAACATATCGGAAATAACAAACAAAGATTTAGAGTCTGTTATAATTGGACGCGAGGATAGGCAGAAATTTGTAAAGAGAGAATGCGAAATCGATGAAAGCTATAAAAAGGTCATGGAAGAAATATTGGAAGATATACGATTATCATTAATTACTGACATTCTATCAACTGAAGATTGTTATAAAGTAATTAAAAAGAGGATTGGTACAAGCGATTACAAACTTGTTGATTATCGTATAAATTCATTGAGCGATTCGGGTGAAAGAGGTGGGTTTTTGGGAGAACATTACATATTAACAATTGAAATAGAAAGAGGCACGAGAGAGATATTGGATTTCTTTGTTAAACAGAGTCCAACCACTGAAAGCCAGAAGAAATTTGCTGAAGAATCTGGGGCAACGTTTAAAGAGATGCAATTTTTCAAAAAGATAATTCCAGATAGTTTAGCGTTTGGTATAAAAACGCTTGAAGAAGTAGCTGCCAAATGTTACTTATCACAAGAGTCCATGATCATTGTTGATAATTTGAAAAGCCTTGGATTCAAGACTGCGAACTTCCGGGATGGAATCTGCTTTGAAGACCTGAAATTGGGCGTTAAAACTATAGCTAAAATGCATGCCAGTGGTTTTCTGTTGGAAGAAAAATACAAAGAGAAATACGGCGTCGATATTAAACTTAACGATATCTACAGTGCCGAATTTAAAGAAGCCTTTTATACGCAACAGGAAAGCGCGACCAATTTATTACAAGCTGGTGTAAAAGCAATTAAGGAACAAATTCAGATGTTCTCTAATTACAGCACGAACATTACTCCAGACGAATTCTATTCAATTGCCTTCAATCTTTACAGTCGTTTCGAAGAATTCTGCTCACCTTCGACGAAATATAGAAACACGTTATGTCACGCTGATTTGTGGTGTAACAATATAATGTTATCAGAGGACAATTGCATTTTGGTTGACTTTCAGTCGTACCGGTATTATCCTCCAGCTTTCGACCTAATGGAACATATATACTTATCAACCTTAAGAGAAGATCGTCGTTTGTACCTGGACAAACTTCTCGACATTTACTACGATAAATTTAAATCGATAGTAGAATCTTATGGATATCCAGTTGAAAATTTGTTAACGCGCAAAGAATTCTTGAAAAGTTGCGAAGAAGGTAAGCGGTTCGCTGCGCTCCAAAGCGTTACGCATCGCCAAAACGTTACTATTTCTTCGCAAGTTATGCAAGAGATATTCCAAAGAGAGGATTTTCTTAACACACTTTTATTCGTGGATCGCAGTGAACATGTGCGTGTTCAATGCGAAACCGACCCAATTTACAGGAAGATAGTTAAGGATGGAACCGACGAATTGAGAGAACTCTGCGAGAAAGTTGCAACTGAAAACAAATTGTCAAATAGTTAATTAAATAAATTTATATAGAAACATTTTCTTTTTACTTATTTTACAATTCCTGAATTTCATGAAAAAAAAAATTCTGCAATCCATTGACTGTTTTTTTATATTCCATTCAATTAAAGCTATTCTTACGCACGAACCAATTATATCATTGTATTTTTTTTTATGTAATCGGCATTAATGAAATGATAACTAGGTATGTTACGGCCTATCATTAATTTCCGCTGGACTTTTGGACGAGTTCTCTCTCATCTAATTAAAAAGGAGCCTCGCCTTTTAATTACTCGACCGAAAAATAAATGAGTACAAAATTAGTTTATTAATGCTGTGATAATGCATGTTTGTATCTAATCAACACTTTTTAATGAACATAATATAAATATTTGCAATATAATTAAAATATTCTTAATTATATAATTTATTTCTATTACAAGGATTAATTATTAATCCGCTGATTTAAATCGCGTAGTTTGCTAGGATTACAAATATTATTCGTGATCTTCTCCTAAATCTTTAAACAACTTATCAACATTAAGTTGATTTATTTATGATATTTATATTGTATAACTATTTTATGATGATCATGTTAATGAATATGATTTCAACAAAAAACTAAATGATGTAGACATATTAACAAAATTTCCACGGTACAAGTATAAATTAAATTAGATATGTTTACAGAGTTCACTGGTTAAAAATAAAAAGGATGTGTTTTTCGTAAACATTCCGTGTACCAATATTTGAATATCACGTGAAATACACCTTTAAATATAAGATTACTGCATTGTTTTTGGTCTAGTTTGTAACAATGGCTACGATGTGCATATCGAAAGAAGACTGCAATTTGTTATTGGCAAATTTTGCCAACTGTGAATTCTCAACGTTCTCCATGGAACCATTCAATAAGGAAACACGTGGATACCTCAGCGAACATCTATTATTAAAGCTGAATGTTAAGGCGGAGAACAAACTGAAAGAATTGAGTTTCTTCGTGAAGTCTCTATTGAAATGTGAAGGATTGAATACAGTATTTGACGATGGTAATTTTTTCGAGAAAGAAGTTTTCGTTTATAATTTCGCTAAGCTTGTGACACGTTTGATTCCCTCAACACCTATTGATTGTATGCCGAAGATGTATTACTATACGAAAGATGAAACGATAGTTTTGGAAAATTTGAGGAACGCAGGTTACAAAGCATACAGTTCACATAAATTTGACGAGCAGCATATGATGAAGGCCATTGTGAGTTTAGCGAAATTCCATACTATTTCTTTTGCATTTCAAGAACTTAGAGGTAAAGAGTTGAAAAGGAAATATGAAATGTCTGAGGAATACTCGCAATACTTGAACGGTTTCTTTAAGGATAATGTGAATTCTGCTGGATATAAATTCATTCTATCGGCTTTGCATGGTGCTCTCGAGTTAGTCGATTTGGTTCATGAAAATGATGAATTGTTGAAGCAAAGATTAACAGCTTTTCACCAAATTTTTATGCAGCGTTTGAATAAACCAAATAAAGCATTCAGAAAAGTTATTTGTCATGGTGATTTATGGGGAAATAATATGGTTTTCAAATACAACAATTCGATTCCAGTGGATTGTAAATTGCTTGATTATCAATTGATCTCCTATCGTCCTCCAGCATACGATGTCACTATGTTATTATACCATGCAAGTCCCAAAGAATTGTATCAGAAGAATATACACTCTTATTACGACTTTTATTATAAATCGTTATCCGATGAATTAAGTGCTTTGAATATTGATATAACAGAAGTGTTTCCTCTGCAAGAATATCAGGCATCGTGCAGGGAATACATGCCATGCAACAAATTTTTGTGGCTTTGCTTTCGCCAATCCACCGAATCCAAACATGGAAATAGCGTAAGTTCAGAAATCGACAAGGATCAATTGAGAGACAACCTGCTCGGAAAAGAGGCAAGGATCAAATTTGTGAAAGATAATTTCTTATCAAGTAATGACTATAAAAATACGTTATCTGATATATTAGAAGACAACAGATTGACTTTCATGGGTGATTTAATAACGGTGGAAGATTGCTTCAAAGCAATCTCATCGAAAATTGGATCCAAAGATTATAAATTGATTAATTGGGAATTGAAAAAGTTTGATTATCGTTGTGGTATTTTGGGGGAACATTACTATTTAAATACGAACATTATTTTCGATGGGAAAGAAAAGGCTTTGCGATTCTTTGTTAAACTGTCACCGCAAGTAGATAACCAGAGGCAGTTTATGGCGGAATCAGGAATGTCTTTCAAGGAAATGCAGTTTTTCAATAGAATTATTCCCGATTTTAATGCGCTCGGTATCAGGTGTTTGGAGGATGCTGCTCCGAGATGTCACCTGGCCGAAGTGGATATACTAATACTGGATGATCTAAAGGAATTGGGTTACAAAATAAATCCAATAAGGGATGGGATTAGTGCTGAAACGCTAAAATGCAGTGTCACTGCTCTTGCAAAATTACATGCGAGCGGGATTATTTTCGAAGAGAAACGGAAAGTTCGATTAAACGAATTTTATCCCGAGGAATTTAAAGAAGCGTTCTATAACAACTCCGAAAGTTGTGCAAATATTAGAAAGTCTGGAATTAAAGGACTTGAGCTAATGATCAAGATGTTTTCCAATCACACAAGTAATATCACACCGGAGACGTTTTTGGAGACGATTATCAAATTGGTCAATTCTCAATCACAATTAATTCTTCCATCTACTAGATATAGGAACACAATTTGCCATGGTGATTGTTGGTGCAATAACGTCTTGTTTAAAGACACCAGTATCTGCATTTTGGTGGATTTTCAATCGTATCGTTACGGCCCTCCAGCCTTTGATTTGATGCAACATCTTTATTTTTCGACAAGTCGCAAGACGAGATCGTTACACTTGCAAATGCTTTTGGATCACTATTACAGTGAATTTACAAGTCTTATAGAGAGTCACGGCTGCGATGTAAGTTCCATTTTACCATATGAAGACTTCATTGAATGTTGCGAAAGCAGCAAGCCGTTTGCTATTATACAAACATCTTTGTATTATCAGAACATCACATTACCAGCAAAATCAATAGAGGCAATGATGTCCGATGAGGAATATTTCAATAAATCTATGTACGTGGACAGAAGCGAACACATTGCACTTTCCTGCAAAAATGATCCAATTTATAAAAGCTGTCTTGAAGATATCACAATAGAACTTAGGGAATTATGTGAAAAAATAGTCAGTAAGAATAAATAAGTTTAGAATTATTGTATAATTTACTTCATTAACGATTAAAGAATATATTTTCCTATTATTTTCCTTTTAACACAAAAAAAAATTCTCTAATTTCCCAATAATGTGAAGAACGTATTTTTTTTTCTGTTCTGTTCCTTCCATTCTGAAAAGAGTTTAAGTATGTAACTTATCTCGCACAACGGAGTGCATGTAGCCAGTAAATTCCATAATAAATAAAAGTATATAACTTAATAAAAAAAATAAAGAAATATATCAATAAGCAAGTATATAAATGTATATTTTTTTTATTATGTCCTCAATATGAATGATAATCAAATTAATGTAATACTTTATTTATATAATTTTATAAAAAAAACATAATTGTGACGTATTTAACTGATAAATATTTACATAGTCTTATCAATTATAAAAGACGTCTCATATCAAAATGTTTCCATTTCAAAATATTTATTTCCATCATGGCAATGCCTTCTAATTGAAGATAGTATAAGTCAAAGCGTGCTAGTTCATAAAAAAAATGGTTTCTCCGTGCTTAACCAGAGGTGACTGTGACTTATTGTTGGCCAAATTTGCCGATTGTGAATTGTTGACGTACTCGTTAGTACCATACAATAATCGAAGTGAACATCAATTATTAACACTGATTGTTAAAACAAGTGATGAACAAAAGGAATTGAATTTCTTTGTGAAGCTTCAATCTAAACGATTACACAATGTGTTCAATGATTATAATTTCTTTGAAAAAGAAGTATTTGTTTATGAGTTTGTTAAGAGAGCCAAGGATTTAATACCTGAAGTTCGAATTAATTGTATGCCCTTAATGTATTACCATAATAGTAATGGATCTGTTGTTTTAGAAGATTTGAGAAAGCAAGGTTATGTAGATTATAATTCTAAATACGATGAGAAGCATATGACTAAGGCTATTATAAATTTAGCGAAATTCCATGCTATTTCATTTGCTTTCGAAGAGTACAAAAATAAAGAGCTTAAAAGAAAATATGAAATTTATGAAGACTACTCTCACTACTTGCATGTGCTTTTTGTGAATAACGAGAAATCTTCAGGATATAAATTAATAAATTCCGCTCTTGCATTGATCGAAAAGCTTTATGAGAACGATGCATGGGTTAAAGAAAAACTAAGAGGTTTTTGGCAAATATTTATGGATCGTCTGAATAAACCAAATACAGAATACAGAAGGGTTATATGTCATGACAATTTACGAGGAAACAATATGGTATTTAGATATAATAACTCAACACCAGAGGATTGCAAATTGGTTGATTTTAAATTATTGTCTTATCTACCACCAGCAAGTGATGTTACCATGTTAATATACCGTTTAAGTCCGAAGGATTTGTACCAAAAACGTGTACATAATTATTATGATTTGTACTATAGTTCATTATCTGAAGAGCTGAGCAATTTAAATATTGATATAGCTGAAATATATTCTCTGCAAGAATATCAGAAATCGTGCAGAGAATACATGCAATGTAATAAATTCTTGTGGCTTTGTCAGTCGGTGTACTCAAAACAAGGCAATTCAGAACATAACGTGGATCAATTAATAGAAAATTTACTTGAGACAACATTTGTTGAAGATAATTTCTTAAATGATAGTTACTACAAAACAGCGTTATCAGAAGTATTAGAAGACAACAGATTGACTTTTATGGGAGATTTAGTAACTGTTGAAGATTGTTTCAAAGTGATATCATCGAAAATTGGATCTAACAATTATCAATTGATTAAATGGGAATT